GGTGGTGGGGGAAGCCTAGCGCTGGCTAGCTCTGCCCTAGAGCCTCGTGCTCGGCCCGCGGCCCCTTGCCGCGTCAGTCGGCTGCAGTGGTTCGTCGGAAGAGGTGCTCGGCTCGGAGCCCAGTGCCCGCCCAGTGCTCTAGTGCCCCCTTTGGATATGGTGCCTGCCTGCCTGCTTGAGGACTTGGTTGGTTTTCCAGCCAAGCCTGCCTCGGCTCTCCAGTGGATGCTGACTTCACACACCTCGCCGCCTCGTGGAAGGACTTCGCCTCTACTGCCTCACCATTTCAAAGGTGTTTGGAGCTTCGGGGAGAGATAAGGGCTTTGGCTCGATTTTAAAGTCAGTCAGTCTTTTTCTCTCTCCTATACTCCGCACCAAAAACTTCATGTCGTCATCACCACCGTCTGCTGCTTCACCAACGTCCACTACTACTAGGCCCTCGTGCCTCTCCGCCTGCGACTTGGGGTTTTCCTGATCGCCTCTTCCTGGATAACAGTGTCTCACTCTGCGCTGGGTTTGCCCCAGAGTGAGTCCTCTCTAGTGGTGCGCCCCTCTGCCGACACTGGATACCTTTTGCGAGTGACTCGCCTCGTCGCTCTTGTTGCTGTTATTGTTTTGTGTGTTACGCCCTTGCGGTAATAAAGCTTCCTTGCTGCCCCGACATGCTCTCGTGCTTCTTCCACACACGCCCCTCTCTCCCTCTTCGCCCCGCCCTAACCTCCACCGACACACCCGCTCACAACACTTCACGCCCGCTTCTTCAAACTTCAACTTCCAAAAGGGTTATTACGCTCACACTCGGGGAAACTCGAGAAATAACGCTCCACGAATGCGGCATTACAGTCGTGCCTGAGGGATGCCGCATCGGGTTGCGTTGGCATAGCTTCGCCTCTCTCTCTCTCTCTCTCTCTCTCTCTCTCTCTCTCTCTCTCTCTCTAACCCGGTTACTACGAGCGGCCGCTAGATGGCGGTGTGGCCTCGCTCGGCGGGCGCGCGGGGGGGAACATTCTAGTAGTGGCAGCAGCGCGCGCTCGCTAGCGCTCAGGGCCGCGAGCCCGCGTTACGCTACGCCACGCCACTCTCGACCTGGCTGCAGAGAGCCCCGCTATACGCCGTCAGTCGTGTGGTGCTGTGCCTGCACGGCTGCGCCTGCTCCATCACGCTGACCCACTTCACGTAGTGTAGTTCCGCCGCGCTGCCGCGGGTCTCACGGGGCTGGCGCGGCGTGGCGCGCGGCCTAGACCAAGTCCCGGCTTGCAAAACGCCTCGCTCGTCGTCCTGTTGGGGAATGCAGCCGCGAGACCGGAAGCGCTTCGGCCTCGCCTCTCTCGTTACCTCACCTCGCTGCTGCTGCACGGGGCCCGAGGCCATACGCGCGCGTCTGTCTATCGCCGGGCTGGCTGTCTGTGGGGGGCTAGGCCAGCAGCATGGGGCCGGGCTACACTAGGCTAGAATGTGGAACAGTGTCGTTAGGCGCGGAGGGGGGAATCAAACGACTCTGGAGCTGCTCTGGCCCTAATTGCCGCCAAGGCAGTTAGGCCCATTCCATTTGACGGGAGAGGAGAGGAGGGGTGAGGGGCTGAGCGGCTGGAGGCTGCTGCTGCTGATGACAGCTGGCGCACCACCACACCGCGCGCCTTCGCGTAGCTCGCCGCGCCCGGCTCCGATGCACTTTGAACAAAGCAGTTTTGCGCGCTTTATTGTGCAGTTCGCCTGGCTCCAGGCTCCAGGTCGCGCGCTCCGCTTCTGGGTATAGGAGGAAGCGGACGGCGGCGCTGTGTGCAGTTGCAGTTCGGGATGAATGGCGTGGTCCGGGGAAGTGATAAACACATGATCCGTGGCGCTCCGCGGAGGGATGACGTCAATGGGTTAGCAGGCCGAACCCTGCAAATCCTCCGAATGCGATGCCACTAGGCACATCGCTGGTTGGGACGAAAACAAAGGTTTTGACCTGCAGAGAAAAATTAAAGAACTTTCTTTATGATAAAAGCCCAAAAAGGGTTAAAATTAACATGGCGTCTTACAGGGCCTCTAGACTGGCCTGAGGGGTTAACACACACACACATCAATCGCGACACGCATCCACGTCTTGTTTCCTGGACTTCTATCGCACAACGCGGGAATACACGTACAATTTGAATTCCTCTTTATTTATTATTTTTCCGCCGAAGTATGTGGCAGCGGCACGCGAGAGATGGGGGGAGGGGGGCGTAAGGGGGATCTTCTTACGCCATTACGTGTCCATCTCGGTCCGCAAATCATCCACGAGCGCCGGAAAAGAGGTTGGGGAGGGGAGGAAGCGGGGCAAGCGGCACGCGCTGCTGCGCTGGGGTTGCCTACCCACGAGTCGTAAGGCGCTCTCGGGCCGCGGCTCGGCGTGCGCTGCAGCGGCGTGGCTGCTCCTCTCCTCTCTGGTCCAGCGGGGCTTATGGCCAGTAGCCCCAGCGGCCTCGTTACACTAGACAGGCTGTGGGGCGCTGGGCCGCGCCCGCAGCCGCGCGCACACACACACACGGGCCTGGGCACAATGCAGCACTTGTGTGCGTCCATTGTCCGAGTCGTATCAGATCGCTTGGGTAACAGCTGGCCGCGCCATTTCGTTGTGCAGCGCGTAGGATGCGGCGGTGGTCGTGTTTGTAACGTCCCCATATCCTTCCTTCCCCTCTGGAGTCGTTCAGAAACCACGTGGAAAATTAAGGGGGGGGGGTCCAAATAATATAGGGCCCGAAAAGGATTAGGACAGTCATTGGTGTCCAAGAAGATATTTTAACCCCCCGGGGTACAAATATCATGGGGCTCTCATTGGACTGCGATGACGGTCCTGATCCTTTTGGGACCCCTTCTTCATATTTGGACTCCCCCTTCCCATTGTCCACGTGGTTTCTGAGCGGCCCCTCTTCCCGCAGGTGGAAAATGTCCTGCACGCGACACACACGGTGTATCAGTTGTAGTTTTGTCGACGACGGCATTTACAGCCGTGTCCTTATTTTCTATCTCAACTACACGATGGGAAGTGAGACAATAAAAGCAGCTGCGGGGGGATAGCGGTGGTTCTTTGTCATTACAAGCGCGGCGCGTAAAACTCTTTACGGCTGCCCACAAAGGCGGCACCGGGACTCGCTGCTGCTTTGGATTTACCGCGACACAATACTGCCGTTGCAGAGGCGGAGATCGCGGGCATCGGGTGAATTTTACCCATGGGTAATGTTTTGCGCCGCCGCAACGAATACAGAGCGCAGTCGTCATAAATTGTAATCACGGTTCGACCTCCAAGTATTTGCTAGGAAAAAAAGAATGTGGGTGTCACTTGTGCGTCAGGGGTTATTGGAACGGTCGGTGCATTATTGCAGTCGCACTTAGAAAAATAAATCATCCTGGCCAAAGTAAAGTCCTGGCCATAACCGCGTTTGTTTCATGCGTTTTACTTTGTTTCTGGGCTGCAAACGATGGTTCCCACCACCAAGAGCTGTGGGGTGTGGCTGGAGCCCGGCTCAAAAGGGGTTGTTACCTCGGTTGTTGCGGCAGGAAAAAGTTTAGTACACCCAAAACTTTTGGATCTTTTCCCAAAATGGAGCAGTTTTATTTTCCCGCGCAGGTACATTGTAACGGGCTAGGCCAGATGATGACGTCCGAAATGCGACCATAAGGCCAGCAGCACACGTGAACAAATTTCGTTCACAAACGCACAATTTTTTTTCTTCGGACGTGGGCGGCCTCGTGCCTCGTGGGGGTTTTTCTCGCGCTGTCCAGGGAACACGCTCGCCCCGCCAGTCCACGCTGTGCCGCTGCGCCCGCACCCAGACCCAGAGACTGCCTCCTATTCCTTTGCCATGTGGACCACATGATGTGGTTGCGTAGCGCGTTGCGTCGCACGAGAGAGAGAGAGAGAGACTGAGAAATATAGAGATGGAGATCTCTTGACAGAGGGGGCCTATGGGTGAAAGTCAAACTCCCGAGAGTCAGTCCGGAAGGTGGCAACTTCGTCCCAAACTTGCACGGCGCAGTCCGCCTCTGGTCTCTGCTCTCTGCGCCGCGCCCAGCGCCGGGCCCGAGTTGCTCGTCGAGGCCTTCCCTCCCCCCTCCCCCCTCCCCGCTACCCTGTCCCGCACCCTCGGCTCGGCGGCACCTTCCTCGTCGAGGCGGCGGCCGGCCGCCTGGCTGCCGATGCCGAAGTAGCAGGCCCGATTCTTCGGCCGGGGACCTGCAAGCGATTCCGTGGTGTAGCGGTTATCACATCTGCCTAACACGCAGAAGGTCCCCAGTTCGATCCTGGGCGGAATCATCTGTTTTCTTGGTGGGGGGCGCTGTTGCTGACGGCTTTCGAGTCGATGATCACAAACTCCGAAACTAGTTGTCCGTCCTGCACGAGGTAGCGTGGCCGAGCGGTCTAAGGCGCTGGTTTAAGGCACCAGTCTCTTCGGAGGCGTGGGTTCGAATCCCACCGCTGCCACTGATTTTTTGTTCGGGCAGGTGGCCCGACACAAGCGTCATGGGCGCTCTGACGTAGTGAGACACGTGAAGAAACTGCATGACGCTCACACTTACAGTACCACCTGCATAGGCATCGGCAGGCGACACTGACAAACCACCCGGCAAAACTTTTTATACACACCCATTTGCGCGCATGCCCCGCCGAGAAGTGCATCTGCATATCACAAGAGGCCATGCCATGCGCACGGGTGGCTGTGGCTGCGCGAGGCATTCGGAAGCTGCGCTGCAGGAAGCTGGACCCGGGCTGGGTCGGGAGGCACCGGTGGCATCACCACCAACGGGTACCGTCTGTCTAGGTGGCCCATGAGAGATGAGGTATGGTTTACCGCCCACCCGACCCGACGAGGTGGCCCAGTAGGTGGCCGCCGTTCAGAGTGCAGAGGTCGCCACCTAGAGAGAGAGACTGGGCTGGCGCGCCTGCTGCACTTGCTGCAACGCGTCGTTACATAAGGCTTTGCACCGCCGCCGCCGCGCGGAGGCCGTATCGTCCACGGCGGCGGCGCCTAGGCTCGCGCGCGCACGCACGCGCATGCTGATTCTACCTTCGATAATCTACGCATGTTAGACCAGGCCGGCGGGAGGAGCAGCAGGCTCTCGTTGTGGGGGAGGACGATGCCGTTGTGTTGCGTCACGAGGCTGGTATTGCAGCGCTCCGACCATGTGTAGCTCTCTGCAGCAGTTTTACACATTTCTATCATTTTAATAGCGGCAGGTGTCATGGAATTCGCTCCTGCACAAACCCGTGCTATTATCTTGTTGTTTATTGGTTGTCTCTATTTTTATTTTTTTCGCACAAGGAGGTGGGCGTTGACCAGCCCGCTGATGGTTGGGCCTTGCCCCACGTGTATACTACATAGAGGAGGAGGGCGGGGGGCTAGGTGTGTGTGTTTGTGTGTGTGTGTCGTCCTACATTCTAGAGAATACTACTTTCACATTTCTGTGCGTAGACAACCGCTGCGCGCGCGCGCCCCCGTGTGTGTGCGTGTGTGTGTGTGTGAGCTCGAGCGCGCTGCGGCATTTTGCGGAGACTTTTGAAATGCAACTGCTCCGCAGTCCAGAAATGGCGTAACACTGTGACGTGACCAGCGGCTACGCGCTGATACTATGCACTGGTGTAGGAGAGGAGGGACCTGCGACCCGAAGCGTGGCGGCGAGCAGGTGCTGATGGAGACCGCCGTCGTCATGAGCAGGCAAGATGGGATCGGTGGCACCGAGGTGTATGACACCCTCCTGGTTGACCCCCGCGCGGGATGCTCGCGAGTCTGCCGCCGCCGCTCGGCTCGGCTGCTGGACGCACTCACACGCAAAGGCAATGAGGAAGTGTCTCATTGGTCGACCGCGGGCGGCGGCTGCGTTGCCATTGGCTGCTGCTGCCTGCCCTCTCTTCTTCTGTATGGCAAACACACATCGAAGCGCGTAACATTGTGTGTGCAGATGCTTTTGTTTTATCGCTCTATCTTGTAAGTAACCCTAACTGACAAATTGGTCCATTTTTGAGAGAAATTTTTGCCATTTATGAACTGGACGCAGTTGAGCACCCAAGGGAACGCCAGATTTTGGCATGCGCGCGAAAGTAGCCAGTGGTGGCCTAGCTCAGAGTTTTCACGGAGTGCGCTCTTTTGGATGCATCCTGAGCATTCTTCTACCATACGGGGTCGCGCGGGTCGCAGGCCCCCGCGTCTCAACACACAGAAACTTCTTCTGCTACAGGTAGTACAGTGTGATGATCGGTGCAGCGAGCGACGAAAACTGCAGAGTCACACCGCGGAAACGTCCTCGCGACCGCGGCGGGCCCGGGGCCCGTGTGCCGCCTTGCACTTTGCACCGCGACAAACTCGCATCGACCATCATGGTGGTGCTTGTCGCTGCACAGGCGTCGATGTGGAGGAATGCCGCATCCACGACTGATGTGCCGCATCCGTTCCTACCTGCATGAGGGTGCGGGAAAGCCGAAGGGAAGCCCTCGCTGTCACGCGGGGGCGGCGCTTTGGCCTGCAGACTGATTCCGAAGAACGCTCAAGGGGAGCGACTCCATGAGTGCGACAAGGACGGAGCTATACGGAAGGTATAGGAGAGCGCTCTTCGGAATCAGTCGGCTGCTGAGGGCAGAAAGCAAAGCGGGGGAGGAGAAGTTGTGGGTTGTGTGCGGTAGCTCAGGTGTGAGAGAGAGGAGGGGGGG